TGGGATCACATTATGCCTGCGGTCCGGTGCGATCATAATGCTGCAAGCACTATTTTGATCGCACCAGACCGCAGACATAATGCGTCTTGCGATTGCATTGCGGCCGGAGGGTGTGGCTACAGTGCCATTCACTACAATGGCCCACCACGCCCCCTCCTACCCCACAAAAAAAGTGAGCCGGCTGCAATGCGAGGCAGTGCGTTCTGCCCAGAATCGGGCCGGAATGCACTGCATCTGGTGTGAACGTAACCTTAGGGAAGAGTCATGATTGCAGGCCGAGGTGTGGGCCTGCAATAGGTGGACTTTGCCAGGTCGCCAGCACTCGCAGTAATGAAAGCCTGAATTATTTTAGCTTTTACTGGAATTACGTCCCATTTGTCATCTAAGCCAACGTTTTAGGGGCCACACAGGGTCCCATCTGCGGGCTGACATTCTGCTCTCCTTCATAGATGGATATTGAAACTCGCAGTTATCACCGGCCTCAAGATAACATTATCTGAGATCAAAGGTGGACAAAATATGGAATTCAAGATCCAGTCTGTCCAATCCAGGAACCAGCAGGATTTATTTTAGCTCCAGTTCCATTGACAACAATTGGAGAAAACCAGCACCAGCTGTCATTTTTTTAAGAGCATTGGCAACCCGGCTCCTGGTCCTGTAATGCTTAAAGTGTAACTCCAGTTTTGTGGAGAACAAGTACACCTCTCTCTGGGGGATCGGTGTACATTATAGGGATTTAACAAACTTTGTAGCAGATTCTGCCTTTCTGTGTTCTGAAGAAATAGCTGTTTGTTTCCCCATGTCCTCTCCAGACTTGATTTTAGAATGGGAGGGTCCGGTTCATTATAACCACCTGGTGAAATCTCTTTACAATATAAGGAAGACATTGCAATCACAATTCAAGAGACAATTCCCAGTACAGGCAGACATGACCCATTACTAGTGTTGGCCTTTGTTTGTAATTGCTCTTTTTTTTATTTTTTATTCTGCTTTAGACAGAGTGAAAACGAGACGCTCCCAGCATGCCTTTCCTCCACGGGTTCCGGAGGATCATATTCGAATACCAGCCACTGGTAGATGAGCTCCTTGGCGCGGTGGGCATACAAGACCCGGAGCAGGCAGAAGTGGCACCAGACACTGCCAGGTACACAACACCTTGTGGTGTAATGAAGAACTCCAGACAAATGTTTCTAAATGTTTTACTCCCAGTTATTTATTCATTACAAATCAGTATATTGCATATTAAAGAGAACTATGGCCCCAGTGGTGTCACAAGGGGGGATACAGGGGGTGCGGCCCGCACCCGGGTGCCACCATTGGAAGGGTGACACCAAAATGACTGGCAGTCATTTTGGTGTCACACCCTATCAGAAGTCGGGCACTCGGTCACAGACTGAGAGTCTGACAGTGTCAGGAGAGAGAAGGGACCCCGGCGGCATACCTCATCCCGCCGGGTGAATGTCCCCTCCTCTCTGCCAGCATCCATCACCAAGATCCCGGCGTCCCCTCCTCTTGCCGGCGTCAACAAGACCATCATGCGCGGCAACGTCGAGAGCATGCACAATGGCGTCACGGCGGGGTGTCACCCGGTCTCCGCCCCCCGGGTGACACCCAGCCTCGGGACGCCCCTGTATGGCCCAACCTTTTTTAGCTTTAGTTCTCTTTAGGGTCACAGGAGGATATTTACTAAAAATTCAGCATATAGCGGGCTATTGTCCACTGTATGCTGACAACACAGAGTCGTGCTGCAGCAGGGAAGGATCCCGACAATATTGTTGTGATCCACCCTGCTATCTGTTTGACAGCTGACTCTGCCTCCCTAGAGGCAGATTCAGCTGTGCCCGCCCCCTCCCCCGTCCGTCTGGAGGAACAGAGAGGGGAGGGGGGAATCTCTGCGGGGATCCATGACTAATCGTCGACGCTTTCTGCAGGGAGAAAATCGGGAACTGTGTGATCAGTGGTATGTGATTGCTCAGTTCTCGATCAATAGAGCCAACGTGACAGCTGCAGTGTCCCATGTCGACTCTAACTATTAGGAGGAGTATATTTCACTCACATAAAAAAACTGCTAGCATAACTGCATGAAGTTTGTCTTTTTATAATGTCTTCCTTACAATTCCCTGCACAGTAGACATTGGACTAAGAGTGCAAGGTCATTCACCATGAGATAGTCAGTCACACAGCATACCATTACTTATAAGATAAGTCAGGCAGTGCATAACAAGGGAATCTACAGAAATGGGCAGAAATGATTCATGGGCATCCACGCTGTCCGGCTTCCTGATTGGCGGGCTCCATGCTTCCTCGTCACAATTCCAAAGACCGCCTAGTGCCACCTTTTCACTTGAAATAAGCTATTGAAGTGCAATCTGGAGCCCAGCACTGACAGCTATGGGACCGGAAGTGATGCAATACGCGTTGCTCCCGGTCCAATAGTGCGGGGAGGAGATTGGTGAACGTAGGTTCGCCGTTCTCCTTCCCACTGACACACAAGATGTCGGTCCCGGGATCGTAGGAGGGGCAGCGGAGCCCGGGACCGGGGAGGGGGAGAGAACAGTCTAAGAACTGGCCGGTTTAGCAGGTCGAACTAGTAACTTTTTGTTTTTACAGCTCCACTAATCAATCATGGCAGTGGATATAAGCTGTGGTTATATATATATTTATTATTAGTGCTTGCAGCATTCTGATCGCACCGCACTGCAGGCACAATGTGCCTTGCGATCGCATTGCGGCCGGAGGGCATGGCTATGGTGCCATTCACTTCAATGGCCCGCCACGCCCCCTCCTGCCCGGCAAAAAGTGAGCCGGCCGCAATGCGATGCAGTGCTTTCCGGCCAGAATCGGACCGCAACGCACTGCCTATGGTGTGAACTAACCTTTACATCACTAGCTTATACCCTTCTGCTATAAGCTCATAGTCACTTTAGTGCATCATTTTATCACAACACACACCAATGCAGCACATAAACGGCACTGCAGATCAGGCGTTACCACAACACAGATTTTTAGCACAACTCGCTTATTTACAGTTTTGCGTTTCTTAATTTCTTTTTACCGTTTCACCAAAAGGCACAATTTAAAACTTACACATTTGTTATTTATTAACTCAATACAGTTTTATCTTTTAGATTTAGTCAGAAAAATGTTTTTCGTGGGCAACGATACTGATCTTAGTGTGCTTTTATAGATTTCATTGTGTAACTTTTATCGGTTAAATATTGATTTGATAAACGTTTGCGCAATTATCGCAGGACTTACAAAATTAGTAGCACCATCTTTTTATTCTGCCGGTGCTGTGCTTTCTTGAAATATATGGTTTGGAGCAGTGGCGGACCTAATAGACAAAGGGCCCTGGTGCAAGATTTTATCTTGGGCCCCCCTCCCAAGACGGGGGGAGGGGGGGTCGGGGGCGCTGGAGCGGAGTAACACTGGAAAAACTGGGCGAGATTACGTTAAAATGTGTGACCACGTCACTGGTCAGACATTCTAATGTAGTCTCAAACTTTGATAGAACGGAGGCCTGTCTGTAATCATTTAATCAGAGAGAAAGATTATAATAGGGAACATTTGCCGCTCGGACTCACCCAGCCAGGGAGTTTCGAATCGATGTGTGCACTGCAGGGGGCAGGACTTGTGACACACACACATGCCCAGGACCGGACCCCACTGGGCCCTCCCCACAGCCTCAGGCCCCAGTGCCCCGGCAACGGCTGCTCGGGTGGTAGTTCCGCCACTGGTTTGGGGGGTCTTTTACAAACGCTAGCAATGCAGCAGTAGAAAGTGCACAAAAAAAAAGGGGTGTGGGGGGGAAAGTAATTACAATAATGGTCTGGCCAGCTGGGGTCAAAAGCAAAACACAGGGCTTGGCAGCGAAAGGGTTAAATCCAGCGCAAAGCTATAGTTGTGTATTAAAACTCACTTTTTGCGCATGACATTCTTTGTTTTGATTGCTCTCAGTTATCTGGCCGGACACAATGACAAATTATTGGCTTTGAGTAAACTACTGGAGAGGCACTCGGACTCGGCCTATTACAAGGATGGGATAAGCTACTCTCTCTTGAAGGTGGCTGAACTAGGACTGGTCCCGGCTGCTGAAATCCTCCTCCAATATGGGGCTGATCTCAACTTTGAGGGTAAGTAGTTACACTCTGCGGGAGGTATTTATCTATTTTCAAGTCAGATTGACGCATGATGATGAAGCATCTTTCCTAGCCATGAAAAATAAAAGAACATTTGGTTCAGTGTCTTCCCCCAATCCTTCCCAACATCTGCTCCCACTGACTCAAAACAAGTAATGGATCATATTAGAGCAAGTCACTGGGAAACTGGGATAAGCTCAGATATCTTGACTGCTTTAATGTGAAAGAGGAATGGCCATAAAGCATTCATTGGATGCTGACTGATATACAGTAAAAGAGCTTATTATACCAAGCACAGATACATTTGTTGAAGTATTTTCTTACACCCAGCTGGCATCCTGTTTTAGTAATCTTAGTCTGGCGGATTTTCAGTGAAACACTAGCAGGCAATTGTGGAAAGATGTTCTTTCTTGCATTTTGTTAATACTGTAACTCTGTTGTCATGTCCCCACACCTATAAGTAGAAACTTGCCTTTGCAATTGGGTTGTTTTTTGAGGTTTACATAGGAAATGTAAACTGGCGGAATAATTTAGAATCCTATAACAGTTCTCGGGGGACAGCAGCAGAAAGGAAAATGTGAAAGCTTATATTTGCATTCTTTTAGATTTGCACATACTCTATATTGCCAAAAGTATTGGGACGCCTGCCTTTACACGCACATGAACTTTAATGGACAATAAGGAGAGGGTGAAGTGGGTCCATCAGGAGCATCTTGTCTTACCAACCCACTGACACCTGTAGAGTTGGAGGAAGTGGCACCCTTGTCTCTATCCATGCAGATGTAGTGTAGAATATCTATCTATCTATCTACCGTGTTTCCCCGAAAATAAGACATTGTCTTATATTTTTTTTGGCTAAGAAAAACACACTAGGTCTTATTTTCGGGGGAAGGTCTTATTTTTTTTTTTTTTAATGTAAGAACAATTCAAAGTTAATGCAAATCCAAATTAAATAATCCAAAATGGCAAAGTTAAGAATAGGGTGATCAGAGCAATCAGGGGTGCCGTACCTTTCCAAGAGCAATTTAGTAACCAATCGCTGGCCAAAATGAGCGAAGCGCACTTTCACTATCGATTCCTCACAGGCGGAGGGCATTTGGTATCACTCGGCCTGTGACAGGAGACGGCGCTATAGAGTAGGCATCGGCTTATGTGGCTCTGCTCTCTCCGGTGCCGCCTCGCTTCCTCTAGCGCTGGCTTTGTTGGCACGGCTGATTTCTCTCCCATCTCGCCTGCAGCTCTTCAAGTTACCCCTTATGCCACCACCGGCCCTGGGAATGGTCACAACTAGGTCTTATTTTCGGGGTAGGTCTTATATTTTATTAATTCCCAAAAATAGTACCAAGTCTTATTTTCGGGGTAGGTCGTATTTTTGGGGAAACAGGGTATCTATCTATCTATCATGAACTTTAATGGCATCCCAGTCTTAGTCCGTAGGGTTCAATATTGAGTTGGCCCACCCTTTGCCACTATAACAGCTTCAACTCTTTTGGGAAGGAGTCCACAAGGTTTAGGAGTGTGTCTATGGGAATGTTTGACCATTCTTCCAGAAGCACATTTGTGAGGTCAGGTACTGATGTTGGAGGAGAAGGCCGGGCTCGCAGTCTCCGCTCTATTTCATCCCAAAGGTGTTCTATCGGGTTGAGGTCAGGACTCTGTGCAGGCCAGTCAAGTTCCTCCACCCCAAACTCGCTCATCCATGTCTTTATGGACCTTGCTTTGTGCACTGGTGTGCAGTCATGTTGGAACAGGAAGGGACCATCCCCAAACTGTTCCCACAAAGTTGGGAGCATGAAATGTCCAAAATGTCTTGGTATGCTGATGCCTTAAGAGTTCCCTTCATTGGAACTAAGGGGCCGAGCCCAACCCCTGAAAAACAGCACCACACCATAATCCCCCTCCACCAAACTTTACACTTGGCACAATGCAGTCAGGCAAGTACCGTTCTCCTAGCAACAGCCAAACCCAGACACGTCCATCGGATTGCCAGACAGAGAAGCGTGACTCTTCACTCCAGAGAACACGTCTCCACTTCTCTAAAGTGTGTTGCACTTGGTGATGTAAGGCTTGGATGCAGCTGCTCGGCCATGGAAACCCATTCCATGAAGCTCTCTACGCACTGTTGTTGTGCCAAATCTGAAGGCCACACGAAGTTTGGAGGTCTGTAGCTATTAACTCTGTGGACAGTTGGCACTTCTGCGCACTAAAAGGACAGAGCGGGGTGACGCTCTGTCCTTTTTCATGGCCTACCACTTCGTGGCTGAGTTGCTGTTGTTCCCAGTTGCTTCCACTTTGTTATAATACCAGTAACAGGTGAGCGCGAATATTTAGTAGCAAGGAAATGTCACGGATGGACTTACTGCACAGGTGACAACCTATCACGGTGCCACGCTTGAATTCACTGAGCTCCTGAGAGCGACCCATTCTTTCACAAATGTTTATAGAAGCGTCTGCATGCCGAGGTGCGTGATTTTATACACCTGTGGCCATGGAGGAGATTAGAACATCTGAAGCTAATGATTTGGAGGGGTGTCCCAATACTTTTGGCAATGTAGTGTATATATTTATATCTCCCCTTCAGCTCAGAATGGCGAGAGAGGATAAGAAGGCCACAAAGAATACTTCAGTACAATGTCATGTATCACTTTACGTATACAGGTACAGGTTCTCTTCAATGCAGATTTATTGATGGCTGAAGCAGTTCTCGTACATAGTGACTTACATTAAAGGCAGGTTGGTCCCATATACTGGTAGTTTTAGCTTTTCTTACTGTTGTGTCCTCTTCCAGATCCAGTGACGTATTACACAGCACTACACATCGCAGTCCTGAGGAACCAGCCTGACATGGTGGAGCTGTTGGTGCAGAATGGAGCTGATATTAACAAGAGGGATCGTGTAAGACATAATCTGTTATTTTATATATATTTTTCACCTAGCTGTATTGCAAGTAAATCTCCAGCATCACTTAAAGAGACCCTGTCATCATAGCAAACGCTGTAATAGTAAATATAATAGTGCTTTGTTTGTAGATATTATTGGCTCATCTGGGCAATGATTTTATTAGCTTACAGCACAACAGTTCTCAAATACAGGGTCAGCGTCGTTTGTTTACATATGTGGAGATGCCATCATTGATGTAGAGGCCGGGGAAGCGCCAGCAGAGGGCAACTGGGAATAGAAAAATTGGACACACGTGGAAGTAAAGGAATCTTTTTTTAATTTTCCCCTCACAAATTATTGGCCAGTAGATTCAATAGTATATACAGAAAACACTAAAAATAAAAATGCTGGTCAGCGTATTCATTTAAATGTAGTAAAAAATGTAAAATGATTAACCCCATACAGTTGTCACAATACAATATTTGTGCAATAGTCAAAATGCTTTATACACCTGCTTTGGGACCGACATGGAAGCAACTGTAGGCCGCACCACGAATCCTGGCCATCCTTCTTCTGGACTCATGACCTGCTGATTTCACACTGCCTTTGGAGAATGAGGTTGGCACTTCACAGTCTGAATCTGAGAGATCTGCACAGCAGAGGTCTAGGGTAGCTCACACAGATCAAACCTTTAGTTCATTAGGTCTTCCAGTAGGGAGTGCATACATAATACTTACACTGGAGGGAAGGATTCCTTCAGTATATGTGCTTGCTGTCTGGGGACCTGACATATAAATATTCTTTTGGTTTCAGATTCATGAGAGTAGCCCTCTGGATTTGGCGAGCGAAGAGCCAGAGAGACTGTCTTGCCTTCAGCGACTACTGGACCTCGGCGCCAATGTGAATGCGGCTGACAAAAATGGTCAGTGATGACAATGCTGCCAGTCTGAGATGGAAGTGATTGGAAATGTTTGCACACAGAACAAATACCATTTATTTGTAGTAATTTCTTAAATTCAGCTTTGTAGCATGCAGCTTCAATTTATTTTCAAAACCCAAAACCACTTTGTTATGAAAGTAGCTTCAAAAACTCATAAGAAAAGAGAATGTACCATCAGCTATAGAGGACTACAAATCCCAGCAATACATTATACACTGTATGTATAATGTATTGCTGGAATTTGTATTCCTATATAGCTGGTGGTATTCTGCATTGCGCCGTATAATTATACAGCGCAATGCAAAATAACACCAGCTATAGAGGACTACAACACATGCCAGCAATAGTACATTATACAGCGCAATGCAGAACAACACCAGATGTAGAGGAATACAACAAATCCCAGCAATAGTACATTATACTATAATGTATTATTGTCGGGATTTGTTGTATTCTCTATAGCTGGTGGTGGTCTGCATTGCGCTGTATAATGTACTATATGGCACACCGCACTTTTCTTTTCACTTCCACCGCTCCACGCTTGCTCCTGTGATGGACTGCAATCCCAATACACACTAGTAGTCCCATCACTGGAGCCATTTTTTTTTTTTTTAAATCCGATTAATCGAACTTAATCGGCTAACTAATCGATTTTGAAAATAATCGTTAGCTGCAGCCCTACAACCTCATTGTGGACAATCCTGATGTGTGAGAGCATAATTCAGTCGGTCTGCTCTGTTGCCCCTGGAATTTACGCTTCCTGTTCTGACCGTTATTGGCCACCCTGGGCTCTAATCATCCTATGCTATGGAAAGGCAGCATGGAATCTGAGTGCACTGAGGGTAAATTTTGAGACGTAATGGTCATGATTTGGACCCCCTGACTCATGAACCAAAGAGGAGCACAATGACTTACCCATAGGCTCTTATTTACCAACAGAGAGAAGGCCATGTATGTGCCTTACAGCTACCAATAAAGTTTGTTAGCATTTGGCTGTTTTTCATTATGCTGATTTTTTAAATTTATTTTTTATATTCTAAATGCCTGTTATTTTATAGTTTTAATTCTTTGGCCTACATGTTTGTTGGCTTTTCCCAGGTAAGACGGCACTGCTACATGCCCTGGCCAGCAGCGATGGAGTTCAGATCCACAACACTGAAAATATCAGACTGCTGCTGGAAGAAGGTAAGTGGCTCATGATTGAGGCCCTTTGCCCTAGATGTTGTGGCTGCTGAGATGTCAGGGAATTTCCCTGCAAAGATTCCTGATCCCAGCCTGTCATAGCTGACAGGATCTGAACCAGGAAATATACTGCGTTTCTTTAAGCAGTAGCATCTATCGCTGCTCTTCTTCACTGTCGGTCAGCATGATGTAAGGAGGGGACAGACACCTAGGGGTCTATTCACGATGCAATACCTCTGAGGGACCGAGCAGAACAGCCGAGCCGAATGCCGCTCAGCAGCATTCGGCTATTCACTCACTGCTGTTCAGCATCTATAAGAATAGACCGAACAGCAGCGAGAACCTGCGGGAGTTTCGGCTTAGCCGATCCAGATGCTGAGTCGAACTCCTCCTGCACTTCGGGTCGGCCGAACATGCTGAGCATGTTCGGCCGACCCAAAGCCACCCGATGTACGGCTGACTGAAGTCAGCCGTACCAGCCTGAAGTGAATAGCCGAACAGCGTTCGGCTCACTTCAGGTCGGTCTTTCACTCGGCTGCCTATGGCATCTTAGTGAATGGACCCCATAGACATTGGACTATATATTAACTTATCATAGCAAGTGTTAGACACTGGACTGTATATTGGCTTTTCTCCCACCTCATGGAATAGAGGGTCAAATGTTAACTGGTTCTCGATAGTAATTTTCCCAACCTCCTTATTTTAAAGTAGAAGTCCAAATATATTGAAAAGACAAA